TTATTCGTATCGTAAGACGTTTCATATCTGACTATAAAAGAAAGCCAATACACTATTGAGGAAGATCATGCATTATCTCCTGCTATTAAAATGATAAAAATATACCATGGAAGTAAAAAATGGCAATTCGAAAACCTTCCTTTGTCAAACGACTCTGTCGCCAACAGAATTTCTAAAATAAGCAACGATCTATTCGAGCAACTTATTACTAAAAGAAAGCCCAAAATTTACAATTCAAGTGGAATTCAACTGATATTTCAAAAGTATCAGTTGTAAGTATATGTCAGATACATTTATAAATACTTCGGTGAAGAATTGTTATTTTGACGTGCTTTGGAAGAACATATGACAGGGAAAGACATACATATAAAAACTAACATTTCTTTTAAACTGAAGTCTTAGAATGAAAACGGTGCTTTGGAATATGCAAAGATGGTGCAACAGATGCTTTAAATTATTTGTTAAAGCTACTGGTAATGATCATATAATTCTTACATATGGTTTGATCCACCAAGAGGCTCTTGCAACAAAATTAATTAGCAAAGAAATTGAACGGTGCGCTTCAGAATGTTGTCAAAATTACTAACTTCATAAAATGCGGTGCCATAGCCGTTTATTTTGAAATCTCTGTAAACGTACTACGAATAAAAAAAAAATATTATTACAAGCGGAAGTAAGACGGACCTCAAAAAAGTGAAGTATGAGATTATTATTATATATTAACCAAAAAACGTCTGATCTTTTAATGATCTTTTTAAATAGTTTATGGCTCTCAAAGCTGGTTATTTGTCAGATTTTTTAGAAACTAAACGGCCTCACTTTGTCTGTTCAAGGAAAAATATAGCAATGTATTTACTCGGTGATAAAATTGAAGATTTTGTTAAAAAGAACTGAATTCGAATAGGTTGGAAACTGATTCGTTCAAAATGTTTTTGACTATTAACAGTTTTATACTTGGGAAAAATAACCGTGAAATTTTAATTTAAAAATTTATTATATGTCGTTTAAAAACCCTAGAAGCACAGTTTTTGAAATACTGTATATCAAATTTTGATATCAAAAAGTTATAATGGATACAGAAAGCATTTTTACTTGACATTAATGAAAGATTAATCACATATCATATTAAGCCGAATATTAATTTGTTGATATCTCGAGTGACGCAGAATTTCCACAAAAATCTTTGACTGAGCTTTGCCCTAGAAATAAATTTCTCACAGTTTCTGAAATGTTTAAATGTTAAAGCCGTTCAGCACCGCATATTTTTGTGAAACAACATTTTCGTTTTAACGCTTGCGGGATTTTATTTAATTTTAATTCACAGTTAATTTTGTTTGGGAAGCAACCTTTCATATAAACTCTCGTTTTCAACCACGTCTGAGTGGTTGTCAACGTGTCAATCAACATGTCTGAGTTGCTTCAGACAATTTATTTAATGACCGCCTTACTTGGACACATCATGTTAATAATGTGTGTGATAGGGCATTTAAAATCATCAAATGCTTATACCCAATTATTGGGAAATACTCTTCACTGGACCTGAACAAGAAGAGACTGTATTTACCTCTCCGTTATCGGACCAGTCATGACTTATGCTTCGACGGCATGGACAACTATCTCCGATAAGGAACGTAAGAAACTTCAAGTGGTGCAAAGCAGATATCTTCGCATTATTACAAACGCCAACTTCTATGTGCGTAACAAATGTCTTAAATGTCTTCACAATGATCTTAAGTTCGAAACGTTGGCGAAGTTTCTCAGAAAACTCAATAAAAACGCTTCTATCAGGAAATACAAGAATGTAATATAATAAACCACTTTGAGCTTTTCAGCTACGAGATTTTTCATGAGGACCGCCATCTTCGTTCTTTTGCGGCTTTCACGCTTAGCGATAACTAAAATTTTCCTACATCAAGCTTAAATGTGCTTTGCATCTCCTCTGTTCAAAATCTCAGCTGAATATGTGTTTATAGCATAATTTGGAGTTCATCCTCAACATTCATTTAATGCAAAGCAAATGGTTGTAAATACTGTGTATCTAGTCTTCCAGTTTATGTGAAAAATTTGTATTTTATGTATTATATCTTGTCTCCAAGACTCACTTAGGCATTTCTGTTCCTGCATTGCTACATGAAGCAACCAAATGAAGACAGCCAGTATACAGCTTGCAGCTTTGCAAGCTAGACGCAGCGGCAACGGCAAACGAAACGGAACTTCAGACAGAACGTGTTGAGAGTCTATTGAAAGCATGTTGAGAGTGTGCTCTGCCTTTCGGCCATGTTGTTTCTATGCTAGTTAGTTCTATGCAGTATATATAATATATATGTGTATGTAATGTAAGCATTTAAAACAAAGTAAGATCTTGGCTTGCATAATTCTTGATCTCAGCGCACTTTTGCATGCACTAAATACGCAGTTTTTTTAACAACTCAAGGGAGTGTTACTATTATCGGTTTCGATAAAATAACGTTAAAAGGCGTTGGTAATGTAATAGGCATAAATAGGCGTTGGTGCCACTTAACAATGAATTAGAAATATCATTAGTTTACCTTATATTGCTGAATATAGCGTTAAGTTATTCACTTAAAACTCATTTCATTCCAGCGTTTTAACAACATTTTACAACAACTGTTGTTCCATGCGTCGTAATTAAATAAGTTTCCATATAGTACCTTAAATGTAGGCCCACCAGCGGCTGAGCGGTAAAATCGATGAACACTGGTAGTTCGGTCCCAGGTTCAAATTCCGCGATCGTACTGCCTGCAGGGGCGTTTTCTCGTGGGTTTTCCCCATTTGTGACGTATATACGATCCAGTTTCTCCTAGAAATTTCCCCATAAGGCATCCCTACCCAGATAGCCTTCGAAGCTTTACCGTAATCACATTAAAAAAAGAAAAGGAAAAAACAAGTATGTTAACTGCAAAATTAACAAACTCTGTGTACATTATCATTAAAAATAAAATCTAATCGTTCTGACGAAAATAATGTATAGTAGGTTGCATTCCTCTTTGTGCACTTATTTAACTTCTCTTACGTTTGTTCTAAAAATATTATATTTTTAGTGTTTGGGTATTTTTATCTTTATACCCTTTTACGTTAAAAAGGATAGCCAGGGAGAAAAAAATGCTGAAACTTTTAAATTGAAGTTGTTTTCGAGACAGACTTAGTTTTAAAAATTTCCAACAATCGATAGCTATTATTTTTATTTAAAAGAGAAGTGAAATATTTGCATAGTGTTTTATATTTAAGTCTTCATATATATTTAAAATTTTTAATGCGAAATTTTTTCTTCATTATATTTTCTGAAGTTGAAACTTTCAAATTGTTTCTTTCTACCAAAAACCAAATTTACACATTTTTAGATAGAGTTTATGAGTCACTCAAAATAGCAGAATGTTACTTTTTAGTTTCTGAAACAAATGATTCAACTGATATTTTGTTAGTCGTTTAAAATTTTAAATGGCAACTGTCTTGATTCCATTGGTATTAGATTGTTTTGTTTCCTTTAGCAAGCAAGGATATTTAGCAACCTGAAAAAAGAAATAAGATTTATTTAATGTAGCCCCGTGTTAAAAAAGGTGAGAGTTTAGCAGAAAATGGTTGTAAGATAGTTTTATTTAAAATGTGGATCCTTGTTTCAAAACCGTAATAATGCGTTTTAAAAAAGACTTACCTTGAGAAAGAATAAACCGTTCTTCAGCACCATAACCCGTTCTTAGTTTTCAAAAAAATCAACATTTTAAGAACAACTGAAGAAACGAGCCCCATAAGCATGAATAATCTTTCAAAATTGATTGACAAAACCCAAATATGTGTGGTTTTGTTCAATAATTGCTAAGCATCAGATCTTTCAACTGATCGAACTGCTGTCGTTGTTGCTTGTCTGACGTAGTCAGCCCAAGCCCACGAAATTCCTCATGATAAGGAGCGCTAGAATACGCCTGCCGTTGGCAACAGCCTTGAGCACCATTCAGGTGACAGTGCGATTTAGCTCAGTTCCACCCCAAAATTTAATGGAGAGCACCCTGGAAGGGACGGGTCTGAAGGTCTTCCACCCTTCTTCCCTTCCACCAAACCACACGAGAGGACTTTCCGCTCACCGCATATTTAGAGTGCCCCCATGCCGCACCGGCACTATACATTTACAAACATCCGTGCCTTCTGCTGGTTCGAACCCGACCCTTTGGCACGGTGATCAACGACGTTAACCAGTGTACCGGTTGGGCGTCACTGATCGAATTAAAGTAGATAGTCTGCTATAGCGTGGTCTATCTTCGACACACTGCCTTCCATATATCACTTCGAAATTCTTTTTGATAAAATGTTGTACTTTAGAGCTTTCGGGATACTTTATCCGTTTTTGTAACAGGAATTTCATTGCAAAGAAACTAAATTCAGTGCATGTTCTTTGTGCAATTACATTTGCAATTTTAGAAAATCGGCAAAGCAAAAATGTTTTTATCCATTAAAGAATTATTGAAGAACAATGAAAGCAAATGAAATAAAGATTGTTACCAAGTGTTCATGAAAGTCTGAAAAAATTTTACTTGAAGTGTTTTCACTTGCATATTGTAAACTAATCAATCCTGATGCTTTTTGAGTACATTAATATGATGTTCGTTACCTATTTACCTAGAAATTATTCCCATGGAATCTACTTTAATGCATTTTAATGCTTCCATGAAGGATCGCTAAAACAACTGTATTCCTTTTGGCACTTAAGAATATACAAGCTATTAGAAATAAGACACAAAAACCTATAAACAAAAATCGTATTAAACAGCATTATATTTCCCTATACCTGAGAGCTTTTTTTAACATCGGAATATAATAAGCATTCTTTTTGCATGAAAAATAAATCCACTTTCATTGGCGTTTTTGGATTAATTTTTGCTTCAAGTTCTTAAGTCGCAAAAAAATTGTGTCTTCTTACAAATTTTATTTTAGTGAATATAATGTTCTTACCTCTATTCTTATACATATATTTTTTATTATTTTAGGAGTCGATGGAGATGCATAAATTTATTGAAAATCCTCTTAATGAAGCTTGGTTGGCAATATACCACTTGTCCAATGGAAGCGAAGTCGTTCTCAATGTTGTCAGTAAGTATTCACTTTAAAAACTAAATCAAAAGGAATTTGGCATCGCATATCTAAACTTCATATTCCGAAAATTCTAACTTAAATTTAAAATTCTGCATAAAATGTATGTTTCTCGCATTGTGATAAAACAACGGTACCTAGAGCCATCAAATTTGGAATAACGTAAGTCTCCAACCGGATATGGGCATCTGGAAGCCCAAATTTGAATTTGTAATTTATTTTATTATCTATTTCATATTATATTATATATATATGATTAAGAAATCCAAAGATTTCAAAGCGAGCAATGGCAAAACTGTACGGAAAAAGTAGACATTTCTATCTCCAGCGCGCGAGACTGTGTATCGAAAATTCTAAAGATATACTTTTTTAAATATTTTGAGATATTGATGTTGAATTTTATAGTTTAAATGAGAATAGCATGATATTTAATAAATAAAGATAACACATAAAACGTTAAACAAACGCTCCTTTGGAGCGTAATATAAAATCTGAAAGCTTTCAAATATTGTTTCCCCTTTATTTTTTTTAACTGTCAGATAAATTTATCCTATAATGCTGTGCAAGAAATAGAACATATTTCTTTCTTTATTTTTATACTACACTAAATTCACCGATGTACAAAAAGAGGCTTACGCGTGATACTGTTGCAATGAAAACTGGAATCAAATTATGTACTTACAGTTTTCCATCTGAAATGCGTAGAACCTCCTGTATTCTTACCGGATATATTCTTACCAGGTATTTTTATATATTATTATATCGGATACTCATAATTCCCCTGATATTAGTGCAGTTTACTCATATAAATCTTCATTAATTTATAAAAGTCTTAGCTTATATGTGTATTTCCTTCTTTACGGTAATTAATTTTTAATTTTATTAAAAATGTTTTTGTCCGGATGCTTTCACAAACTTTTCCAACTCCGTGATTATTTTCGTGTTCCCTTAAATTTCCTCGTACATCTTCGAGAATACTTTTATGTTTATTCAAATAAACTCATTCATTAAATTAAGTAAGGGCAACAGGTCTTGAGATTAAAACACTTTCTTAGAATAGCCCCGCAAATATATTTTTATTACAGAAATTTAGAAGTATTAAATGTTATATTTAAATAAGTTCTTTTAAAATATATCCATAGATGTTCTTAGAATAGCCCCACACACATATTTTTATTATAGAAATTTAGAAGTATTAAATGTGATATTACGTAATTTCTCTTAAAATATATCCATAAAATGTATTACAAATGAGCATAGAAACTTAGCTGAATTGATACATCCATTTACTTTTGACGCAATCGAGATTAAAAGCTCGGATATTATGAGCAAATATTGCACAAGCAGAGAAACAGGCTTTCGAAAATAGCTGACATTCAAATATCCTAGAGGAAAAATTCTTCTTTCGGTGTGCGCTCGGATATCGTTTGACGAACTATTTTATTAACTATCGTACAACAGCATTCAAACCATTGAAGCCATCATCCATCCATTTGCTTCGCACCATTTTTCAGAATTCGAATTAGAGCGCCATATAATCTGCGAACATCTCGGAAAGTTCTTCGAATACCGGCAATTTCTAACAGATATTTCAGACAACTACCTTTAATAGAGGTACTTGCTTTAACGCAAAGCTTTAATGATGAATGGAATTTCGAACTTTGAGTATCTTAATCTTCAACGAAAGCGTCGAATATCTAGTTGCAAAATTTCTAATGACTTTCGAACGCAGAAAGGGTATTTTAACGAATGAATTGAAGCAAACTGACTGCAATGACTTCGTAAACTTCTTTCTAATAACATCGCAGATAAAACTATCCTCTCGAACAATTTCTAATTCGAGCTTTCCTTGCAAATCAATACGCTTCCTTGAAATGGTACTTAATGCAGTTCTGTCATGACATTCATGTTTACATTAGTTTATTTATCATCAAATGTATACATAAGATAATATTTATGTATACATAAGATATGCGTGTCTGTATGCATATATAAGATATGTATGCATATATGTGTAGGATATGCAAGATGCTTATGCAGGTAAATGCGTATGCATTCAAATTAAATTCTAACTTTAATTTGTATTAGCATTTGTATTTTTATTCTAAAAACAGCAATATGCTTATATCAAATGTTCTGAAGTGAGTCATTTAAATGTAACTACTATTATATGATTTTTATAGCATACTAATGATGCATGCTCTTGTTAAATGAGCTAAATGAGATTGTTTCCCTTAGCAAGGTCTCCATGAAACCTTTAGGCAGATAGTCCTCGTTTCTTTTGTTCTTATCCAATGGTCTAATATAAGGTGACCAGATTTTCCGGAGGGCAAATTTCGGTGGTGGGGCAGGGTGGAAGAAAGCGGAAGCCTCCTCTGAAGGTGAATATACGGAGTGCAAAATTTTTAGTGAAGTCACATTGTACTGTAAAGAATTACCCATCATTTGCGTGTGTGTTAACAGAATTATTGAAAGAAAAAATAGAATTTATCTATATCTCAGACTAAGTTAATTATTAAATCAACAATCACGGACTTTGGGATCTAGACCTTTGGGACCCTGTACAGCTTACATCTTCGCTGTTGTTTGGTTACCTTTTATTTTAGAGATGAGATATTTGGACGTAAGCTTATATCCAAAGAATATTAAGTGCGCGTTTTGCGCATAAAATACTATGTATATCTTTAAAACAAATTATGCCAGACCATAAAGAAGTGTAATCATAGTCTAATCTTCTACTCACAGAACATTCCAAAGTATTCATTGCTTACATATAGAGAGAGATAGAGGAGATATGAAAATTACAACTTTTTCAACTTTTTTTATAGTTTTTACACAGCAAAATACGAATATATTTTATTCAAAATTGCGTGTGTTTTTTAATTATAGCAACAAAGCTTAACGTATTATCTGTTACATTAATCTTTACAGCTGTATTTAAAAATAAGTAGTTTTTATATCACAAGCATTTCACGTGGACATCACCTGTTCAAATGCAAAATATCCAGTTCCATTCTTTGCACGTTTCATTACAGCTACGTGTATGCTTTGAATTTCAATTGATATTCGGGCCTTCAAAATTCTAAACATGATATCAATTGATCGTCCTTAGTTTGTCTTGATAGATAAGAAATCACTAGGCATGATGTTTGATGGCCTAGCTGGAAGTTCAAGGTGTCCTAACTCCATAGCCAATCCATCGGATCGAGAATTCATTATCTTAATGATCACGCTTACAACAATTCTCCAGTTCGACGGGATGACATCTCGATTGAAGGAGATATGAGACTGCGGGTATTACAGATATGAATGGTTAATATTTCATACACACTGCGCAAAAAAAAAAATGGGACAGTTCTATATCTCCCGTTCTACTGGACCGATTGACGAAATTCAACTTGCGTTTTTCATGTCTCGAAAGCATGACTTAGAATACGTATTACATTTATATACACTGGTGAAATAAATTAAGAGAATTTGCATATTTTATCAAATTGCATGAAAAGAACTGAACTGAATGAAAAATCACTGCTTCTAGATAAAAATGCAAATCTTTGTACGGCAAATACGTAAGCGCACACGTGTATGTAGGCGAATCCAGCAAAAAATCAGGCTTCATAAAGCGCGTGGAGGGTAAGACGAATTGCGTTCGCTAGCACACCTCAGGAAATATGTTAACGAATGTGAAAAGAAGCATACGTAACTAAAACCATGCAGAAAAAACTTTTTCAGAAAGTCAACTCAAACAAGGATCATGTTAGAAATCACTCATTATCTTTGTATTATATACAATGCACATTCCTATTACAAATTTGCTTGATATACCACGGACTCAGATATTATGCGAATGTTAAGTCATATTTAATAACATTATCCCAGAATGGAGTGGGATCTGGCCAATTACTAATAATTATTCGAGCATCGAAACCTTTTCCCTATTCAGACATTATCGTCTCAAAATAACTTGCCTAGCCGGTTACAGTGAGCAGATTGTAAAGCATTTCTAGCCTATGCAAACTGTAGAATTATTTTAAGTTCAGAAGTTTAATTTCACAGAAGAATGTAAAATCTAAATCTAGCTAAAAATTTCGGAACAATTTTTAAGGTATTAATTGTAAAACATGTGTGTATATATATTCAGATGTGTGTTAAGTAAGCCGTATATGTAAGTAAAACACGTCCTTGATACAATTTTGATTATAAAATGTATATAACTATAACCATAAATATAAACAGTGTATTTTGCACTCTTTTCATTTTATGTGACTTTTACTAACAGAGTATTTTCACTAAAGTCATAAAAAATTGTTTTGAATTTTCTAAAATAAATTTATGTGTAATTTTGTTTTCTTACGCTGCGTAAATATTCGGTTTGTTCCTTGACAAACTCTTTGTTTTCAGAATAATGCGACTAGCTTCATGATACAACTTTTATTAGTTTGAACCAGTGAACTAATGATGATCTGTAATTTAAATGACTCTGTTAAAAGGCATCACTGATAGAAACATCAAACTTTCTTTTATCTTACCTCAAAATTTTATTTTTCAAAATATACTCCCATTTTACGGGCATTTTCTGCTTCAAGGAACTGCGTTTATTTTTCGACGATGTTGAAAAGTTGAAATAAGTCCAGAAAATTACGAGAAACCGAATCAAATAGGAGGTTGAATGAAACAAGAAAAGTCCATACCCCTATATTATTCAATGTTATAACCATCATTATCTAAATTACACTAGGGTCTTTTATTTTAGATTTGATAAAGATGATTCTAATACAGCAAGTAATAGCTACTGTATGATGGCCCTACCATTTATTACACGAAATAGATTTCTAATCTAATTGTTTCTAATCTATGAATCTGAGAGTAGTCTTAATGAAAAGGATTGATAAGTAATGACGAATGAAAATAAAAAAACTGAAAAAATACTAAGCTCTGATAAGCTAATATTGTCGATAATATTATGATTGGGGAAGTACTTTAGTCTCAGTGATCCATTT